CTTTTGAATCGATATTTCAAAATGGTTCAAGTAAAACACGCCTGATAAAAAGCGAAGAATATATACCATGTTTAGAGGTGAAAACATGTGCTAGCTATGCGACCTTTGCTAGGAATACGACTTGCGTGCTAGACTTTGGGAGCTTTAACCAGGTCCAAGTAGATACGGAAAGGAAAAAAAGAAAAGGGGAAAACACCATAATTTCAGATTCCTGAAGTTTTATTGGGAAGGGGCCTCTCCTTCAAACAGTAAAATCTCCTTCTACCCCTCCCTTATCAATACCATCATAGTAGGCACTCTACTCTTACAAGCAAGCTAAAGTAAGATTCAATTGCCATTTTATTAATCTAATTGCTTTTGTATTTATGAATTTCAGTATTAAACAGTGTTTAAATTATTTTATACCACCTCCTCAATGTATAATATGCCATTTACAATATGATTGTTTTAAATTATGGGAACGGATTATTCGTTCTCCCTTTATTTCTTAAGGGAAAATTCGTTTTGTAAGCCTCTAGCCAATTCCTGTCGTTTATAACAAGCTCTATTTTACGCCTACAACCAAAACTAGAAGTAAGCATTTTTAGTTTCAGTTTCAGTTTTCAAATAGGCTACAGTAGGCAAGGTGACTCTTGTCAACAAACCTACAAGTGTTCACGAATTTTCACCGTACGTTTCTTATCACTTTACGTGTGTATAACAGGTTTTATTTATCCTAGTTATAATCCGGATAATTATTGTTTGTTATTATTAAAATACGCTATGATTTTTATAGTATTTTTTATGTAACTTACTTATCACTTGATCGATTTTGGTTTTATTAATCTAGACAAAGAATTAAACTCATACCATATGTTATTATATGCGTAGATAATATTTGTGTGCAGTTTTAGTCATTTTCGCTGGAATATCTTTAAGTAGTATGATTTGGAAACTTAACACTTGTATGTATTTGATTACATTTTAGTTAATTTTCTCAACCATTAGTCATACTGGTCATAAAGTCTCATATCCGTTATTCAAATATTATTAAGTCACCTAGTTAGTTAGCTCTATATTTAGTTAGTTATTCAGTCAGTCAGTCAATTAGTTAGCTCGTTACTTAGTTAGTCAGTCAGTTAGTTAGTCAGTTAGTTAGCCATTCAGTTAGTTTGGTACTTAGTCAGTCAGTTAGTCAGTCAGTCAGTCAGTTAGTAAATCAGTTTGTTAGTGAGCTCGTTACCAAATTAGTTAGTTGGTCAGTCAGTAAGTCAGTCAGTTTGTTTGTTAGTCAGCCAGTCAGCTAGTCAGTTAGTTAGTCAGTCAGTCAGTTAGTTATTCTGTTAGTTGGTTAGTCAGTCAGTTAGTTAGTCAGCCAGTTAGTTAGTCAGTTGGTCAGTCAGTCAGTCAGTCAGTCGGTCAGTTAGTTAGTTAGTCAGTAAGTCAGTTAGTTAGTCAGTTTTAGTTTTCAAATATAGTACGTAAAGTAACTTTTGTGAACCAACCTACGAGTGCTAACGAATATTCACTGAACGTTTCAATGCGTTTTTTTTTTTTTTCATTTAAAACGTGTATAACAGGTTTCGTTTATCTTATTTGTAATCCGGATAATTATTGTTTGTTATCATTAAAATAAGCTATGATTTCTAAAGTAATTATTATGCAACTTATTTATCACGTGATTGATTTTCTACAACATGTAACTTTAGTATCATTCATTGTAGTAGTAGCAGCAATAGTACTAGTATTAGCAGCAGCAGCTGTTATTGTAGTGCTAATGGTATTGGTAGAAGTAGTCTAGACGAAGAATTGTACTCCGGAAGCGCTATGTAATATGTGCACAGAAAATATTTGTGCCTAGTTTTAGTGTCTTTCGTAGTATGATACGGAAACATAACATTTGTATGTATTTGATTATATAATAGTTAATTTTCACATCCATTAGTCATTCTTGTCAGAATAGTCCTATATTCCTTTTTAAAAAAAAATGTCAGACAGTCAGTCAGTTAGTTAGTCGACAGATATCCACATTGAGAGTCCAATCATTGAGTCCACAAGCGCTCGGACCCCTCCTCCGTAAATCTCATAGCTTATAGCGGCTGACGACAGCCGTCCTGTGTTGGTTCATATTCTTCTTTTTCTTCCCGCATAGTGCTCTTGTTTTTCCACACCCTTTTTAACAAACTGTTCTGTTAGTTTGGTCACAGCTGCAGATTCACACTCATCAGCTGGCTGTCGCAAACGTCGTACTACTACTAAAGCATTCACTATATTAGCCTGGTCCAGGCTCGCCCGTCCTCTACGGTAGTTTTACCTGCAAGTCTGTCAGCTTACTCATTTCCTCGCAAGCCGGGGTGCCCTGTTCAGATCCTGACGGAGCCGGGCAGTTTTAAGAAATGACCTTGGTTCCCAAGTCGACCCAGCCTTAAATGGGTACCAGGTACAGTGCTGTGAAGTAAAGGATGTCGGTGTGATGCTGACCCACCCACTGAGTGCCCATTGGTCTATAAAATAAAAAAAGGTCTAGCCAAACAATTATAATCCGCCTGAAGGTGTGGAAAAGGGTCCTTTATTTTACTTTCTTACAGTGTGTCCTGGCACGAGTATGAAACTAATATGTTTCAGCCCTGACCGTCTCAGAGACTCTAACCGCTGTCTTCGGGCCCAGCCCATCTCTATCTTCCTGGGCATACTCACTGAGTCACTAAAAAAAATGTGCTGGTAAATGTTTGCGTCCAGCGCCATGTTATTGGTTTGGTCACTACCACGACCTCCTTTAATCAGACTACTTGTAGGCAGTATCAAAAGTACCAGAATCTAGCTTCATACTAACTCTAACCTAGACCGTAAACAAAAAACCACGAGCTTCTCAAGTGGCGAACCAGAGACCCATCTGTACAAACGACACCATCACCCTCTAGAGAATTTTCGAAAATCAGGGTCCGCACTTCTGCCTCCACAGCTGTCAGACTTTGTTGTCTGTATTTTCTGTCTAGTAGGATGCAAACAGAAAAAGTCGTGCAGCATTCTGTTGCCACTTATACCCATTCTTCACAAGTTGTTATGTCTTCAAGTGAACACATTTGATGAATAATATCCTCGACTTGACCCGTCTACAATTTCCCTGTTTTTAATCTGCTGCCTTTTCTCTTTGGCTATTAATTTCATTAAGCAGCGGATGTCTTGTGTCTGCCATGGTTGGAAAATTGAGAAGGTAGCCCTTCGCCCTGCTTGCTGCATCGATTGTACACCGCAGTATAATATTCATAGCCCGTTTCTATATCCTTTCTATCTGCTTATAGCTGTCTGGATTGTCATCGTATATGTAAAAAAGACCAGACCCTGGTTTTCAGACGACATCACTATCATCGCAGTCAAGCACCGCTTGGCCATGTGCTAAAGTTTAAACCAGGCTTTGATCAAATCGTACCCTCAGATTGTTCATTACCTGCGTTCTTTCTACATTATCTGAGCATCAACTTAACAGCTGGCGTTGGAGTGTTGACAGTATGAAGCAATAATATTGAACAATGCACCAGCACCACCACACCAATTGCTTATGCAGCTGAGTTCTGTTTGTAGTTCCCCAGCAACATGCTATCTACCATTACCTGACTATAAATTAACACCTTGTCAGCGTACAACACAGTCTTTCCCTGGCCTGTGATCTGCTTGTCTGTGATTCTCGTTGTGTAAACGTTGAACATAACGGAAGATAACAGTGATCCCTGTGGGTGGCCGGGATGTACAGCTGTAGGTTCATAAGTCTAAATGCCACATCTAAAAACTACTTTTAGCTTGAAGAGGGCTACAGGGATCCAGATGAGAATGAATGGACTTATTCTGAGTCCAAGAAGCTGAAACATTAAGAAATTCATCGACACTCTGTTGTATGCATCCGCAAGTTCAATTGCTGTAGAACATATTTCAATGCCTGAGTGGAAATCTCCATACCCATCATTGGCAAAAACTACTGCTTTAGTCCTGGTACATCTTGCTTGTGATAGAGAAGTTTTCCGGAGTATTGTTATGGGAGCAAGGCTCAGCAAGGACATGCTAGTGGCTGACTGACTGACTGTAGAGGAACAAACGCTGGTCCTATTTGACTGAAAAGCTAACACACTACAAAGTATCGGTAACTATACACACAGGAAAACAAACTCATGGATGGTTTGACACAGATACACGAACTCAGTAGCACCATCGAAAATCTTAAGAAAAAAAACTCAAGGTTTAAATTCTGGCACAACAAACTAAACATAACAGATGAAAACTATCCATCTCTTATGTGAAAATGAAAGCTCTCTCACGTGAAAATAAATCAGTTACGAAAAAACACTGTTGTCCACATTCGGTTTGATACTTCAATTCGGATGTTGTTTTTGTATAGCCTTTTAACAGTTCCGGATGCTGCAATGCTGCTATAACTTCTGCTGGCTTATTCCTAATTTTAGATTCTGGTTGTTGTTGTTGTTTTTTTTTAAACCCTGACTGAGTTCTTCTTCTTATGAGGTCTTTCTTCCTGGGCAAAACCGACGCTGACTTCATATTTCTTTGGAAGGACTACAAGATGCAGTTTCTAAACTTCTGCACTTCCGGGTGGTAATTAATAACTGTCAGAGTACAACTTGGCAAAAATAGTTGTAATGGGGGTGGGGGAGATCGGGTTATGGTAGTTTGAGTATAACTGAAGGAAATAAATGTTTGTTTGAGTAAAATTATAAGAGGCGGTTGTAGCAGTAGAATTGGGGGAAACAGTTGTTTAAAATAAACTATAGAAAACTGTCATAACAGTAAATGTTGTTTGAAAATTCAGGAAACATCTGCTTGAGTAAAACTGAAACTAAATAGTGGTAGGATTAAAACTGGGTCGGAAATACTACAACGACAGCATTTAACATTAAAAGTAATGATGATACAAAACAAAGGTGATTCTTTTGTGCATCGCGTATAATGTTTATGCACGTGCTGCTTATTTTCTTTGTTATTTTTCAGTGAGCTTCCCCAGATAACCAATAACGATGCCGTTTAGAGAGTCCCTAGCCTGCGGCCTACAGAAGTGTGTGGGAAACCAGTGGAAGGGGAATTATTACAGTGATTTTATTGTTATTGTTGAGGATACCTCATTCCAATGTCACCGCTTCATTCTCGGAGCATGCTCCGGATTCTTCCAGTGCCTGTTCAAGTCACCAATGAAGGAACAAACAGAAGGTTGTGCTAAACTTGAGGGGATGAGTGCTAGCACTTTTAATATAATCGTTAGCGCTCTGTATACAGGTATAGAAGAACTCAACAACGATAATGTCTTAGATGTGTGGTCTGCTTCAGAAATGCTTGACATTGGTTACTTAACTAAGGAGTGTCATAAATTTGTTGTAGAAAACGTCTCTGTTGACACTTGTTTCCGTTTCCTCAAGCACGCATCACTGTATGCTGCAACATATGTGGTAGATCATTGTTTGGATTTTATCTCCAGAAACTTTAAAAACTTTCGGGATGAAGACAAACTTCTTCACTTATCCTTTGACCAGTTTTACAAAGTAATTGCAAACAATTATTTATCCACATACGGAGAAGAGTTGGTTGTGGAAATCATCTTGAAATGGGTAAAATATACCCCACAATCCACACAACGTACATCTCTAGATTCAGGTAAAGTGTACATATTTCTTTCCTATGTATTCAACTTTAGTACGAGGCATGCATGCTTATCCATCTCACTTCCTCCACTCTCTCTCTCTCACTTCCCCCTCTCTCTCATGCATGCATGCATGTATGTATGTATGTATGTATGTATGTATGTATGTATGTATGTATGTATGTATGTATGTATGTATGTATGTATGTATGTATGTATGTATGTATGTATGTATGTATGTATGTATGTATGTATGTATGTATGTATGTATGTATGTATGTATGTATGTATGTATGTATGTATGTATGTATGTATGTATGTATGTATGTATGTATGTATGTATGTATGTATGTATGTATGTATGTATGTATGTATGTATGTATGTATGTATGTATGTATGTATGTATGTATGTATGTATGTATGTATGTATGTATGTATGTATGTATGTATGTATGTATGTATGTATGTATGTATGTATGTATGTATGTATGTATGTATGTATGTATGTATGTATGTATGTATGTATGTATGTATGTATGTATGTATGTATGTATGTATGTATGTATGTATGTATGTATGTATGTATGTATGTATGTATGTATGTATGTATGTATGTATGTATGTATGTATGTATGTATGTATGTATGTATGTATGTATGTATGTATGTATGTATGTATGTATGTATGTATGTATGTATGTATGTATGTATGTATGTATGTATGTATGTATGTATGTATGTATGTATGTATGTATGTATGTATGTATGTATGTATGTATGTATGTATGTATGTATGTATGTATGTATGTATGTATGTATGTATGTATGTATGTATGTATGTATGTATGTATGTATGTATGTATGTATGTATGTATGTATGTATGTATGTATGTATGTATGTATGTATGTATGTATGTATGTATGTATGTATGTATGTATGTATGTATGTATGTATGTATGTATGTATGTATGTATGTATGTATGTATGTATGTATGTATGTATGTATGTATGTATGTATGTATGTATGTATGTACGTACGTACGTATGCATGTATGTACGTATATACGTACAATAGAAGCATCATTTGACATTTACTGACCAGTATTATTATTTCTGGTTTTTATTTCATAGGAAACAATACTGAGTGCATCATCGATACGAGTGATTTCCCAACAAACAGCTTGTCCAGCAGCGAAAATCAGGAGAATATAGACGATGATCAGGCGATTGTAGCATGTGGTGATAAACTTGAGGAATCAAATACTTGTTCACCTTTCACAGAGACCAGAGAGAGCACTGACACTCCTGCACTCATTCCTGTACAAATCTGTAATGGCTGCAGAGATGCTAATGCTGATGAAACGCATATTGAAAACCGAAAACAGCATCTCTGTCAACTGTTGTCTGCATGTAGGTTATTTACAATAAAATCAAACTTTCTTGACAATGTAATAAAGAATAATGCACGGCTGTTGGTAGATACAGGAGCATACCCATTGATCCATGAAGCTCTGATGTATACCTTGGATGTCAGCCGACGCCATAACGCATGGCCTGTTGCAGCTGTGTACAGAGCTTCCAGTGATTTCAAACATGTCATGGTATTTTTGTCTAACGACATGGTCATGGCCTACATTTTGGACACTGGTTGTGTTGCTGAGCTTGCTAAACTCCCTATGAAGTGTAAATCATGTAATTCCAATATAATTATTTTTGACAACAATTTGTATTTACTTTCGGATAATGACACTGATGACAATAAACAATTCTATATGCTTGAAGGCAATAAAACTTGGTTTAAAGTGAATATCATAGATACAAATGGGGCAGCTGTATTGCTACCACATGGTGATAATATTTACTATTATTGCCCGAAGGCTAGTATATATGAGGCCTACAACGACGACGAGGAGGAACGAGGCCATTTTAATCTTTATCGTTTCTGTCATGCTTATGGGCGTGCCTTAGTGTGGTCAAGGTGTGGCAAGCTGGAATTTAACCGCAACTGCCTTGTCAGATTAAATAAGTACATACTAGTTTTCGCCACACAAGATAATGTTATAACTGTGGAATGCTACAATACAGAGACACAAGAAACTCATAAATGTACGACACCAATGAGTGGAACGTCCCAAGACATCGTTAGTTTTACACACGAAACGCAGGCTTACATCATTCAGAGAAATGGCTGCTTGTGGAAAGTATTCAGCACAGACACCACCCATGTAGACTTTGAGCTGGTCTCTAAACTCTGGGACTTTGACAGCAGACTAAAAGGATGTGTGCTCTATAAACAGGCACTATTCATATTTAGTAATAATAAAAAGTCTAAGCTAATGTTATCGTCACTCCCTGGGATTTTTACAAGGACCCAGATAATAGTCATCGATAGCAAAACACCATGTTTCCCCATGACTCTAAAACTTGCTTTATAAAATGCTGTCCTTATTGTCATATCTGAGAAGAGGGTGACCATTTTAAATATTTTTTATCTGTACTTTTTTATTAGAACTAGATGTGACAAAAGCTTTTTTGTTCAGAAAGGGACAATGTAAGATTCTAAGTTTCTGTTTCATTGTAGCTGACAAAAGAGTGTTGACGATAGATATTATGTGTTACCACACAGACTCTGGTTTGTTATTGCAAATAAATTGAAGTTGTTAACTAAATTAATTTATTTAACCAATTGTGTTTGATGCTCCGGCACCATGTAGTGATGATATTCAGTTCTTACTTTAGTTATATGTAAGAATGTTCAGTTCCTCTTTAGAGCTATATGAGGATAACCAGCGCCAGTGTCTTTTTCTCTGTGTCATTAAATGAACTCCAGTTCTCCTTTAGGGCTGTGTAATGAAATTGTTGTCTCTAGTGGTATGTAAATATCCAGTTCTTTGTTAGTGTCAAGTGGTTGTATCAAACCCATTCATATTGCCATATAGTGACATCTAGTTCGCTAGTGTCATTTACTTATATCCAGTTCTCTTCTGGCAATATTTAATTATATCCATTTCTCAACTGATATCAGTTTATGATATCTAGTTTTTATCTAGCGTAGTTTAATGCTATTGTAGTTTGCCTCTAGTGACATTTCTTCTTCTTCTTCTTCTTCTTCTTCTTCTTCTTCTTCTTCTTCTTCTTCTTCTTCTTCTTCTTCTTCTTCTTCTGCATTCGCCCTCAAAATAGCGGTTGGCATGTTCTATTAAGGTTTCGAGCTAGGCTGCGATATCTGCACCTGGTTGCCTAAAATATCATATTTCAGTAAATCATTAATTTGACGCCTTTTACCACATGCTTGTTTGGAATGGGAGCAATGGGTCTAGTTTTTGCTGACCTAATAGGGACTATAATTTCAGTTGGGGATAATGTATCTAATTATATCAAGATCTCCTCTAGCGTCATGTATTTATATCTAGTATCAAGTAATTATATCCAGTTTCAGTTGTTGTTGTAGCGTCATGTAATTATATCTATTATCGTGTAATTATATCCAGTCTCAGTTGTTGTTGTAGCGTCATGTAATTATATCTATTATCATGTAATTATATCCAGTTTCAGTTGTTGTTGTAGCGTCATGTAATTATATCTAGTTCTTCTCTAATGTCATTTAATTATATCCAATTCTCATTTGTTGTCATGTAATTATATCCGGTTCTCCTCAAGTGTCAGGTAATTATATTAGGTTCTTTTCCAGTGTTGCATAATAATATCCAGTTCGTATAAATGTCATGCAACTATATCCAGTTCTCTCTATTGTCAACAAATTATACTCCGTTCTCATCTATTGTCAAGCAACTATGTTCAGTTCTCCTGTAGTGATATGTAGCGATATCCAGTTCTCCGTTAGTTTTTATTCTCCTTTAGCTTCTTCTCCCCTTCCTCTTTTACTACTTCGGTTGCCTGTAAAGTTATAGAATTCTCTGCTTCTTGCTCTTGTGCTGGCCTCGATCATAGCTGAAGATTTTCCATATGTCATCTTCTTATCCTGGTCTTTTATTTCCTCTGTTCGTGTATTTTGGCATTCAAAAGCCATTCTCTCTAAGAAGGCACATCATTTGATTTATTATTACTATTATTTTAATTAATATTATTATTTGTATTATCAGTTTCATACGGGGGGGGGGGGGGGGGATTTAACATAATTTAGAATTCGTTCTGAGCCGTATCTTTCACAGAAACTCAATTCCACTCAATAAAAATATAGTATCTTTGAAAATGAAGCGTTAGCTCTAGTGATCAGCCTTAGGAAATTCCAAAAATATTTTATAGGAAAGAAATTTATTATTTTGACGAACAGGTTGACAAATGGATGCAACAGGTAGCTCTAGAGTATACAGATGGGTTCAATTCAAAATTAAAAATTTTAAGGGCAGGGAAAACCACTTACCAGACGTAAGGTCAAGACTAACTAATTAACAAAAAACATAACTGCATTTTTGTATGTATTGACTTATAAGAAAATTATAAAAATGAACTAATATGCTGAACATAAATCATTTAGTAGAAGAACATGAAATTGTATACCGAACAGTCAATATTGTGTATATGCAATAAATAACGAATAAATGATTTGTTTTAACAATGGTAATTATATAATTGTAATAATTGCACGGACAGGACACTGACAACAATGACGAATAGAGACTGAAAATGGAAATTTAAATCAAATAAATCGTAAATGTATCAACACAAAATTTTTTTTTTGTTTTATGAAACTATTTTTCACACGATAAGTATTAATTTGTAAACACCTTCAAACATATTTTGATATTGTGCATTCACAGTTATTGTCATTGTGAAAAAATGGGATCTATATCTTCCAAAATAATTTAAGACATTATTTAAAATAATTATTTGTACCTTGGTATTGAGGAAATAAGGTATACCCAAAAAAAAAAAAAAAAAGGTTGAATGAGGCAGGAAAAACCCTGATGATCCATTTGGAGCGGACACCAGTGGAGGTGGCTCAGTGGGTACATATAGTGAAGATGAGACTGCAGATTCGCATTACCGTTTCATAGCCAATATAGACTTCCGCACCAAAATATGGGTGTGTCTTGGGGTGTTGATCTAATTAAGCTATGTAGTGCTCACTGGGGACAACCACCGACGATGTAACAAGTGGATCTCATGATCAGCATGAGGAAGGACAAGCTTAAACCAATAACCAAGATTGAAACTATAGAATGTCCACATCATTACATTAGAGTCATCCTCAACCTTAAAGTTGTAGGCAAAAGAAAACAAAAGTAATTTTTTTTTTTTTTTAAATATGGGCTTGGAAGATGAGGGAATTCTCGGGAAACCCCCGTATAACGCTGCAGAGTTACAGGCCAATGAGAAAACGGGCTTCACCAAATAAACGATAGTCACTGAGCGGAGTGAATGGTTACCAGCCCAAACTCCGGGCAAAGGGAACACATGTTTGGAAGGGCAAATGAGAGAGGGGCAGTTGGTTTTTGGAAAGGAATGGAAGCGGTCAGAATGTGCGGAGCAGAAGAATTTTCTTTGGAATAAATGTCGTCTGCGTCGTGAACGCAAGTGGATGGCTGAAGTGTTGAATTTATGAACTTATGATAAAGAGAGACGAGCCGTCGCCAAGTCTACTTTACGGATGATTCCATGCTTCTTCGTTAAAATGAGAAGCCTGGACTGAAAAGTAAATACTTGTGTGCTCGGTAAACAATGGTTTCTTCCATGCTTTGTGTCAGCCAGTTTCACGACGACTAGATAACGAGACTACGGACTGGACTGCATTGTGTTTGGAACTGCAATAAACATTAGACCGACTCTAGTGGGTGTGGTTTATATCATTGTGTTCTAACTCACTTAGCAACATGATAGAAGTTAGCAACTCGTCCAGGCAGGTCCAGATTGAACCCAGGTACATCATCATCCCATTGGTCCTGGGATTGTTAAGACTTATTCATTCTATAAAAGCCTAGCACAGACGTCTGAGCTAAAATTATGTGGATAGTTGGCTGGGTGGTGAACATGGTAGTTTGGTGATTGCTAACTCCTCTTTGTCACAGGATGTTATTAATATCTGGAGGCCAAGTCAAGGAACAGTATCCTAACACTATCCAGTGTAACCCACATCCAGCTTACAGGGTGAGGGATCCTCAGTGAACAACTCATTCCTGTATATGCACCAATGAGAGTGGCTCTATGAGACGACAACTGTATGTTGTTCTATGATGTTCACCATCAGTTTGTATCTTCAACCCAGAAGTCTTTAATGTAAGGTGGCATATAATCCTTTGTAAGAATAAACTGAAAAGTTTGCTGTTAAATGGACATTAACTCTTTACAATTTTTAGATCAAGTGGAAGATGGTTTCATAAATGAGCACCAGCATATGCTTTATATGTTTTATATAAGTCTATTCTCGGTTTAAGCAAATGTAATATATTTAGTCGCTTTCTGTTCGTATGACTGGATTGAATCAACTGGAAAAGGTAGTTTCGAGTACTTTGAGAAACATGTTGTGAATAAATTTGCTCTTGTAAAAATTTAAACGTTTACTAAAATTAGATTTTTATCGATATGTTTTCTTTCTGAAATCAGGCGTGAAGCACAATTTTGAAGGGACATGAGCATTAGATTTGGTGCAGCCATCCAAAATTGTGTAACCACAGTCGACATGTGTTTGGATGTGGGACGCCTTAAATAGTTTTCGTCTCTTCATCCAGAAAGTGGTGAATTTTGACAAGCAGATAAACTTGTCGCGCTATTTTCTTTGTTGTGTCACACAACATGAGAATTCCAAGTTAAATGATGGTCAGTTGTAAGGCCTAATGTTTTGTGTTCGGTTGCCTTAACAATAGGTAATGTATCAATGTAAAGCTCAAGTGGTGGCTTGTGCAGCACTAATGTTTGTAACTTTTGTCTCGTTGTTATAACCTTAGATTTTGTAGTAATTATGTTAATTTTCATGCGATTGCTATTACTTAATTTACCAAGATTATCTACCTCTTTTTTGAAAAGAACTTCCCACCTCATTACGGTTCTCGTGACTAGCATATATTGTGGTTATTGAAGAATACTACTTGCTGTCTATAAAAATGACCGCAATAATTTGACTACAGTATCGTGAGTTTTCAGGGTTTTTAATTTATCAATTAGAATATCATGAACTACTATATCGAAGGCTTTTTTTTTTTAAGTCAACAAAAACTGCACCGCAAATTTTGCCTTTGTTGTTTTTAAAGTGCTTGTCATTTTTTGTCAACGCAGTATGACAAGAGTATTTAGGTCTGAACCCAGATTGGCGATCAACTATCAGGTTATTGTATTGTATTGGGGACTGGGGGTGGGGGGGGGGGGGGGGAAGGGGTGTTGAGTGTTCAAGAAACAGTCAGATTTAGTGTAGGGTTCTAATCACATGTAGCCTAGATGACAGTGATTAGCCAGCCGGTGATGCAGAATGAGAATTTCA